TAATGATATTGATTTAAGGATATTAAATGTGCCTAATTCTTAGCAAAAAATATTGATAGCTAAGGATTCTTTGAAAGCTAATGAGTGTTGGATGAATAAATATGAACATGAACGTTTACGCACATGATTGTGGTCGCATATCACGGGGTCTTAGGTTCGACTGAAGCAGATAAACGCGTTATCGGAATTATCACTGGGTCCGAATTGTGGATGTAAATAGGAGGCGTTTGGGTGCTAAGCTCTGTTGAGCCTGGGATCAAGTTGAAGGATTCCTTGAAGATGCGTTGTCGCCATCGGTGAGTTCATTGCCGGGGCCCGATGCGAGCTTGAACTTTACTCCGCGATAAATAAATAAATAATTTTATCGCTCTTCTTTCTCCTCTCCCGTTCTTCTGCATATTGTTTTTTTTCTTCTTCTTCTTCTGTTTCCAATCCTTAGACTTTTCCAGTATACACAATGCCTTCCATTGGCTAAATGGTATCAACTAAGCAACATAAGGTTAGGGCCCGGCCTCAAGATCGTATGTAGTTGTTACAAGTCCCCTTCGCCTTCCTGCCTAGATCCTTCCGAAAGAAACGCAAACATTGTTATGTATAAGTAATGGTTATCGATTATTATTATTGAGTTGTCGAGAGACAAGTTCGGCGTAACCAGCTCTCTGTTGACCTTGCACTTTCATACTCCAGATAAACGGATTGTTGCAGCTCGGACGTTCGTGCTGGATCTATTGTCCTCTGTTCGATTGCAGACATTTCACTTCTTCTCCTCCTGGTATTCCTTTTATCCCGAATACTTTGGAGCCAAGAAATGTTAATGTTGCTCCTGCCGTGAGTCACTACCACGGCATCTCACAGAAAGACGCTCGTTCTTGGACCGATGCCAAATTACCACTAGGCCTAAAGGAATTTCCGTCTCTTCCGAGAGAACGACGTAAATAATTTATGCGCCTTTAAGGACAATTTTGTTTCTGGTCTCATCACCCATCAATCGGTGATAAAACACACAGTTTTTTCGCCCTTGCAACGATTCTCGTACCGCATTTCATTACGCCCACGAAGCACATTAATTGCGACGTCGCGACGCTAGCCGCTTATGCAATTGGCATGAAATGTTAAAAATAAAGATCACATCCCTTCCACCCATGTCTATGTTATATTGCCTTGTGTTTACCGTCATGGAAAAAATCTAATTTCAAGACGTACTTTTCCACTGCAGCATTTCATTCTCTACTAGAGATAGCTTTTACAATGATTACAATGATTTCGGTAAACGTACATAAAATATACCTGTACGATAAGCGAATGTACGTTAGTTTGATAATTTCTAATATAAATATACAACTGTGTTTTCATTCGTATGAGCGTACAATTTCGATATAGTTTTGAAAATCCTTACTTATTTCAATTTTATTTTAGTCAATCCGCGATATTACTTCAAATAAAGTCAAATAATCATTATACGTTCTTAAGCATATTTGTAGGTTAGTTCTATCAGGGAGAGGTAAATAATCATGTACGTACTATCGAACGTATCTTTAATTAAAGTACGTTATGTGAATATTTACAAATTCTATATCAAAAAATCTATGATAATTACAATACAATTTGTTGAACAAAATTATGATCTAACGATATGAGTCTTTTTCTATATTATTAAAATCTTTATTATTTAAAAAAAAATCTTAAACCACATTAACATTTCTATTGGTAAATTTCGAATGGTAAATTCGAGGTCTGCCCAATTAATTTGTTTCCGAGTTCGGACAGTTTAATTAGATATGTTTCGATCAATTTATAACGTAGATACGGCACACTACATGCGAAATTCAACACTACAAACGTATATTCACTGAAGCATTAATGAATTCAATAGTAAACTAACTAATTGGATCAGGTATTAGTTAGTTTAACATCGCAAAATCCAATTAGAGTTCAATATTATATTCCAAGTTAACTCTCTCTCTCTCTCATGTTTTCAACAAAAACTTTAAAGTTTTTGTTATAAAATTAATTTGTTATTTTTTTCTTCTTATTTTTTTACCATGCAAACGTTCTTAAACGCTTATTAAAAGAAATGAATTTAACATTTTTGAAATTACCGCGTAATTTTTTCATGAAAAAATTACGAAAATTTGAATATCGGGACGCATTTTCTTTATCCCTCAACCTCTTTGTCGTACATATATGCAACAGGCTGTTTTTCTCCCGTCTTCTACGTATCTAACCTGCTCCGAATGCAATTCCACGGTCGATATGCAATTGTGTTTCTAGTTCTGGGTCGAATATGCGCAGAATAAACGGACAGAAGTTCCATAAGGAACAGGAATTTCAGAAGCGCCGTCGATTATGTAACGGAATAAGACTGCATACAATTTCGATCCGGAACGCGGTAGCAACTGGTGAGCAACTTGACCTTGCCGAACCTGCATAAAATCGAAAGGCACATTGGAAACTATTGAAAAAAAAAAACAATTGAATTTTAGTAATATTTAACAATTTTTATTTACATAAACTAATATTCAATGCATTTTAATTATATTTTGTGTAAAGTTTTTTTTTTATTGTACTTAGCATAAAACAATGATATTTCAAGGTTTATGGTGGAGTAAAAAGGCTATAGGTCTTTCTATCAATTTGATGTTGTTTTTATTACAAAATGATTGTTTTTAACGCATCTTCTTTGTGTTAATCTGCAATTATCAGCGGTTTACTGACAAGATAATAATAGACTGCTGCTAATTACAAAACAAAAATGTTTATTTCTGATTTCATACAATTAATAATAATTTTATATTTTTATATATCCAAATATAACAAAACTTTTATATATTTTTCGTTTTTCTCTACAATATTTAAGTAAAGTTTGAAATTTTTAATTGTTTTATTTCATAATTTCAATCTTACTGCATCTGTTGCGTATAAAAAAAACATTGGTTCATAGTTCATAGTGTTTTCTATAGGAATTGTTGAAGTTGCGTGTTCAACTCGTTGAGTGTATTCCATACAATCAAAGTAGTTTAATAATAGCTTTTGTATGGAAGTAGTTTATTATTCAGTTATAACTTTCTTCTTGAAAGTCGATTTGCTGAAATCTAATGAGAAATAGTAATCATTACTGAAATACGATTATTTAAAATTTGTAATATTTTTTTAGAAATATTGTTTGTTCAGTGATGTGAAGATTACGACTTTTTAAATCATTTAATAAAAATATAGATAATTATATTGTGATAATACATAATCAAATGCATCTTATTCAGATTGTGAGTAAAGTTTGACCTTCATGTTCCGATTTTGCTGACTTATCAAATATATTTGAGATATCGATAGATAATTAAAAAAAATCTTTATTATATTATTATTATAGATAACGAAATGTATATTGAATTACTTAAACTGCGAAAAGGGAATATTCAAACGTTTTATGGTTCAATATTCAATAAGGTCCTAGTTCTTGAGAATAATTAAATTCTAATTACTTATTTTTCATGGATACAATTTTGAACTCAATTATTTTTCATAGACAAGACAATAATTAATTTTTTTATTATCAATTATTTATATTGGAATGTTAATAGGATAATTGATATTTCGCAACTTTTGAAAGTTAAACAACATATGTTACAAGCACTATTATATAGGTGATAGGTTAAAAAGAACTTGGGAATCTACGATTAAAATAAAGGAAAATTTACTAACGAACACTGATAATATTACTAGTAATACTAGTATAATCAGTCTTAAAATATTCAGACTGGAACTCAACAAAAACAAAACTTATTTGTAACTCAAAAGTTATTTTATGTTTTTGAATAATATAGAAATTACATTATTTAAAGTAAAACTATAATATAAATAAGTAATTTCTCTAAAGCAGTGTTTCTCAACATTCTTGTCAACAAATTTCTTTGTCAGTTCCTCCCTTTGACACAAGGTGGAATCTACTTCTTCAAGACTTAAAACTACTTTTTACATCAACCTAAGTTTCTCGCTTTGATACAAAGTGACAGCTGTCATTTCGGGATTCATTAAAAATTTAGTTAAGAAAGATTTATACAAAAAGAGAATCAGACAATTTCAATAAACAACTTTTTGAATCAACTAAAATATTTCAATTCTGATATTCAATTTAGTATACCGATTTTAAAATTGGTTATGTTGTTCAGATTTTGGCTGAGCCATGAACATACATCTGGCCGTATCAACGTAGTATAGCTTCTTTATTTATTTTATTTTGGCCCATTTTCAAGACACGCGCGTAACGGCCAAATAATCAAATCAAAACATTGTGTCCCAAGACCCAAGAAGCGACGCTCTAAATCATTATTATTTGTCTTCTTCTCCATTATCCACATTCATCTATTCGTTTTCGCAATAATAATAATAAAATCAACATTCGTGTATTCGTTTTCGCTAATAAAATAGTAATAATAATAAAAAACAACGAACTACAAACCGAACGAAAATACTTGAATGTTAGTATACAACCACAAAAAAAAACAACAACGCATAGATGGTACGATGGAAAAGTGCAAATTCTGTTTGTGATTTTATCTTATCTAATCTTATCACGGCGCAGTCTTAGTCTAATTTGAAGAAGCTTTGCGAAGTGCAAAATTATTATTATTATTTTTGTTATATACATGTATATGATTTTTTGTGTGTTTTTTTTTTGGTCGTCTGCCTCTCAACCGTTGTCGTTGCTATCTTATCCAATTTGTTGTAGTATGCAGATGGCAGGTGCAAAGGTTCATTAGTAATGGATGAGTTTTTTGGATGGCTCACGAAGTGGAGGAGCGCGCTGCTTGGATAGTGTGCACGGATGGGTGGGCATCCGTTTGTATGTACGTACGTACGTACGTTGCGTTTCGAACCAAATAGCGAATCTATGTATAGGATGGATATTTCTGTTTGTTTATGTCTATAATTAACATTAAAAATTTGTTGAGGCAATGCTGTGTGCGACTAAGCAGGTCAAAAATACTCAAAAAGCCGTGCTACACCAGTACTGAAATAAAACTTATATTTTAAGCGTTGCTTTTATTCTGGATGAGGAGCTCCCGGATTTGAATTTAGTGGGCATCAGTCTCTTGTGCGGGCCGTCGGTCGGCACAAATCGACGGCCCGAATCCACCCCCCAAAGTAAGCACCTACCCAAAAAAACCGTACGAAAATTACCACCCAAAATACACGAGGTCCGCACGAAACTGTGGTGCGCCAACCCCCCTCGGCTCTCCGGCTACGCTCGCAAATGGACAGAAAACCGTTCTTACCCATTACCATCATCATCATCATGATCATCAACACCAAGACAATCACTGCGAGGTGCGTTTGTGATTGTGACCGCGTGTGAATCTCTCTCTCTCTCTCACTCTCTTCACTCCTCAGCGTGTGGCTCTCAAAAGTGTGTGTATGTGTGTGTGCGTTGTGTATGCGTGTGATGCAATTACGTGCGGTTGTATAACTCTTCCGAAAGCCATACAACAACACCGCACCAACAGCCACACAACCCTGGCTGCACACTTGGAACGGATTTATCTAAAGTTTCTATCTGTAAAACTTAGGTAATTAACTTCTTAACTCCAAGTGCTCCTTCCTTCCCGCCGCTCATGATCCCACTGAAAAAAAAATAAGGGCCAAGAGGAAGCGCGACGAGGACAACAGGATCAAAAAATGTACATGTAACAGACGAAAAAAAACGAGCTACTCAGGAAGTGCTATCTGGTCTCTCCCGACTCGGCATATAACCCAACTCATTTTTTTTTTGTCCTCCCATTCCCAACGTGCAAGATATAAATACATATCGTGTGTATTTAATGTGTATGTAATGAAACCTGTTGCTATACAAGGAAATCGCAATCAACTTATGAAAATAAATTAACACCTTTTTTTTTGTTACCACAATTCATTCGCATAATTACAAAGCTGATGTCCACTCAAAATATTCAGTTTAACGTACAATTAGAAAATATATATCTTTGATTCTTCTTAGTTTTGCTTCACAAAAGAAATACTTACAAACAAACAAAAAACATGTCCTTAAATGAAATTTAAATTGAATAACTTTTTATACTATTGTTTTAAAATCTGCGGGTGGCCGTATAGAAACTCTAGGACATCTGGTTCATCTTTCCCATAACTGCCATAGCCGAAACCAATATGTTTGCTAATAAAGATATTGTTATTATATAAGTAACATTTATTCAGAATAACAATTTCCTCTAAAATAAAGAACAATATTATTAAGATTAAAATACTAGTAAAAAATTAGAATAATTACATTATATTAACAGTAATCTTAATTAGAATTCATTGTCAATTTGAATGACAAATATGTAATAAATTATATATCTTATTATTAAAAAAAAAATGTCCTAGACAAATTTTCATCCATAAAATAGATTGTAGTGTTCCCAGTTGGAGAAATGTAAATGCATAATATAAACTAAAATTAGTGAAATGCGTAATCGCGAACTAAAAAAAGGAATCTTCGATGAAAACAGTAAAGTAAAAAGAAGAAGAAAAAAAAGTACGAAGCGAATCGGAATATTGATATTCGTATTTCGAGGAATGTGAAGAGGGAACTATAAATACATATTTATATTGAATCGGTGAAATAAAATGAAACAAAAATTGAAAAGTAAAATGAAAACAAACAAAAAAAAAGAAAGAGAAGTGACATATCGATTTCACTTGCATTGGAGAGCACAACAAACAAATACACAAATGTAAACACTTGTTGCGTCGTTAATTATTTATTTGAATCGATATCTATACCTAAGCATTATAATGCATAATATATTTAAAACATAGTCTATTTAAAAAAAAATAAAACGTCTACAGTTATATAAAGATTGACCTAATGCGATGAATGGAAACACTTTAATGGAATGATAAATATGAAGTATTCGCAATCTCCTTCCTTGTGCGAAATTGAAAATAGAATTTCTTTTTTATTTATATACACATACAGACGGTTTTTTTGTTTTTAATCGACCTATCTTCAAGTGCAATCTATTCTTAGTGAACATTTTATAAATTATCTCAAGGTTAGTGAATTTTAACAAAATTATACCAACATTAATCATCAGATATAATATTATATAATATAGTTATTATTAATAATTATTGCAAACTTTTTTTAGCTATTCTCAATTACAATTATAGTTTATACATGTTAGCTTCTTCTATTTATAATTATTCCACTTATTTTACGTAACTTTTTTGTCTACATCAAGTTGCTCATAACTGTATGTGCTATAGTTCCAAATCTTTGAAAATACTTTTAGACATTTTCTTTTTCAAATACTAAATTTCAAGTTTTCTACTTTATTATTTGAATATCCTCTATATGAAATATATTATTAATAAAAATTTCATTTTTTTAAATTATTTTTATATAAATAATATCAATAAATATATTTATTTAATCAACACTATTAGAGCTTTATCGCAAAACTTTTGAACTTACAGTAAGTAAGTTCTATCCTCGTTTGCATTGATGCTATAACAATGACGTAATTTTATTTGAATTTGTAAGTATATTTTGAATAGGAAACCTTCTAAAATATACGCCGCATGACGTAAAGCAAGAGTTTTGCATACATCAAAGAAGCTGCCTTTGCCACGATAATATAATGGAATCAATTAGTAGATCTGAATCGATGCAATCAAGGTCATCAATGTACCTTCGGCAAACCACATCTAAATCTAAGAATTTAACGTGTTTTCTATACATATTAACGTAATGTAATTGGATGATTTGTGAAACAAAAATAATATCGTAATTTACATGAATTACTCAACAATCGATTCGAAGGCTACACGAAACGACTTTTCTCGAAATTTTATTGAAAAAAAAAATCTTGCATCAGATTAAGGCGACGGAATAGATATGCAATATAATATAAAAGAAAACGAGAGGACAATCAAATAGAAAGTGTGTGAAATTCTGAGATTTAGCGTTTTGCTGTCACATAAAAATGTCGTTTAGTACAAATATATTTATTTCTGTTCATTTAGACCTCTTCCATTACATGTGAGAATAGTAGAAAAAATGAAAATTGTCTAAGCATCATAGGTCCAATCAAGGCAACTTGTATTCCAAAATGGATTGGTTGATTTTTTTAAATACTTATACAATACTTCATGTAGTTTTTTAATTGTCTCAAATTTTGATTTTTGTTGTTTGCTTCTGGTTTTTTCTGGTCTAATTTAGGCAACTGTGGGACAGATTATACAAATATAACCCTATTTTATAATTATAACTAATATAATCAATTTTGACTAAATGAGTGTACATTTTATAATGACATAATTTGCTGCTTGCTATCCGGCTTGTTTCAAATTGTCTGTACAGATGAAGTTGATGATGAAGTTAATGAACTATCTATCTAATTCTACAGTTAAAACTTAACTTGAGGTTTCCCAGTATATGCAGCACAAATTGCCATCACTAATTGGAAATTCAATCGCACTCAAATCGAATTACTTCTGGCTTTTAGTGCGGTTTACGTAACCGGCTCGTAGCTGCCGGAGGTTCCAGTATTTTCTAATTAAAGTCAAGAATCGTCGAACTAATCAATCTGTGACGCGACGTTTGTTGCGCGTATATTGATCGCTCGGATGCGCTCAACAAGTAAACGCTTGTCGGAAGTACTCTGGAAGGAAGAAGAAGTACAACCAACCAACCAACAAACAAACAAAAAAAAATGAAAGACGAAAGAGAAATCCTTCTGAAGAGCAGATTCCTTTTCGCTCACGACGTGAGGGAAGCAGGCAGAAAACAACCGCCCCCATAATCGAGCAACATTAAAGACCGTTCCTGTTTGCTTTGGCGGTTTATGCGAGGGCGGACGTTCTTTACATATATATATATATATAAATGTGTGTGTTTTTTTGCTTCTTTCATTTCGAACGCACATTTCTGGAGGGAGCTAGAAACATTTGCGATAGAAGCGCTCGGAAAATAAATAAATAGAGCGCTAATTGATTTCTATTTAAGTATATACGAATGTTTTCGCTCCAAATTGAATTATATCGTTAAAGGTCTAGAACATCTATAAATAAATTTCTTTGTAACTTCAATTCATTTACAAATGCATACAGTAATGTTCAAACATTATTTTGATTTATCGTGGGCGTTAAAAATGCACAGGCCATTGATAATGTCCGACAACTTGCGGCTTCGAAGCCGCATGCAGCTCCACGTAACAGTGGTTATTTTGTATAGCAAAAATTAATTTTCATTTATATTGTATAGACGTGTATAAATTTGCCACGTTTATTACCACCCAGTTTAGGAAAACTTTCAACATGTGAAATGAATATTATTAACTACACACAATTTGATTCATAACAGTCACAAGGTCTGCGCACGTGATTGGAAATGTGCTTGTTATGATAGACTTCATTAATAAAGTCCAATCATCGATTGCTTTTCAATTCACGTGATGTGCAATGGAAATTTATTAGGGGATGTTTCAACTGCAGATCTACAATAAAATTAATTACCTCTAATCAATCAATTTCATTGAAAACAACTATCTTATGTAATTCATAGATATTTTCAAACTTATTATATGAATCGTAATCATTTACACTATATTTTTATATATTTAGAATCGTTATAAAAAATAAGAAAAACAAACTAACCTCACTCAACCGAGATGTCTAAATGCTGACTGATTTTCGTCACCATCCTATAGATTAGAAAGGCTGCATAAATAAAACATCGTGAAATATTTATTATCATTCCTGAAAGTAAACAATAATAATCTACATTTTTTATTTTTAATCAATGTAAACTCATAACATAATAACCTTGTCCTCGTCAAATTATATAAAAAAAAATAATTTGTTAACTTAACAATTGATGATAGAAACAATGACTATTTTTATATAACTTATGCACAAAATTTGTAAAAGAAATGAATGATTCAGATTTATGATTTCCGGAGCTATAGTAGTTGTTTTTTATATTTGAAATGATGACATGATATTACTGCGAATAAACTATTCTAGTTGATATATCTGAAACATCTAAGATATTTATAGATTTCTTTAAATAATCAAAAAATACATATGCTGTTATATTTATTTCTGATTTATTTGTCGTAGTTATTATTATTTTAGCATCAAAATTTTCTTTTTTATCTAACTTTCTCTATAAGGTATATTTTTATACGTAAATACTAAATTTCATAATTTTGTGAATGAAAAATATTTTGAAATCAAATCTGAATAAAATATTTTTATCAGAGTATTGAAGATTGCTGTAAAATAATGATAGTTAAAAAGTATAAATAATTTTCATTTTTGAAAATACATTTTCAAAACAAAATGTAGTAACGAGAAAAAAGTTGTGTTGTTATTTTGTTTTTTTTTTCGAAGATATTTATGATCGCGTCAACCAAATATGTTTCATTCAATTACAGTGATTAATGATTAACCTTGGATAGACTCACTTACGCATACTTTGTTAAGGTTAGGTGTCATCATTTCTATTGAAATGCCCATTTATCATATACTTCGAGCATGTTTCAATACTACTTTCATCGACTAC